AGGCTCACAGAAACAATTTAGCATCTTCCCTCTGAAGGATGGCTCATGTCTTTCACACACCCATCTGATACCAGACTGTAGCTTTTCACAGCAGTTTGATTTTTAACATTTCAGTTCCTGCTCAGAATTCCCCCAGACGTGGGCTATCCCCCACCTAAGAAAGCATGAGTCAGAAACAGATCTTCCCTTGGGGCCTTCCACTGTGCTGCACACCAACTGCCTCTATTGGCAGCAGATTTGTATCCAGCAGCACTGCTGAGCCATTCATCTCCCTCTGCATGTGTATCTGCAGTCACTCATTTCCATGCCTCCTTCTTCTGCCTTGGGCTGCCAGAAGTGACCAGTGAAACAGGCCAGGCACCTGCACCAGCTGAAAGCTGAGCCAGTGAGCATGGCTAGTTCTCAGTCAGATCAGTTCCCTGACCTGGTTTGCCACATGGCCACATCCTGCTTGTGCCAATATGGTTGAGTGGCCAGGGGCTGTCCTTGCCTCTTGCAACTATATGGTTTTTCAATCTATCTACAACTACCATCGGCAAGCAGACACTGAGGTAAACTCAGTCTCTACCCATCTCAATCTTTCTTTTCTTCTTGAGGTAAGAAAATAGTATCATTTGGACACTGGTACATATTTTCCTAACATCTCTTGAATGTTCCACTTCACCATTTCCAATGGTGAAATGGGCCTTGTTTCTGTACCTTGTTTGGAGCAAGCTAAGGCACTTGCAGGAAACACACAGCAGGAGCAGATGTGAAACTGTGTTTGTTCAGCCACAGCAGGAGCAGGGAAGGCTCCAGAGAGTAGCACAGGGATGGAGCCATCTCTGGAACCACACAAGCTGAGTCAGTTTGGATGCTGGGAGCTGACAACTGAGTCACAGGATATCATTTCCAGGCAGAAACAGCCAGAGAGGTAACAAGCAGGACAGTATGACTATTTCACTTTGTTTCATTTCGTCAGCTTGGGGACTTTCATGCTTTTGGAATGGATTACCATTCCAAACACCGATTAAGTCCATGTTGACAACACAGATTAAGGATGCTCCTTTCCTCAAAGGATTGACACACTGTAATGACAACCAGTTCAGCAGGGGACTAGTTAACACAGAGAGCTGCATGCACCTCAAGTAATTAAACTGATGAAAGTACAGTGTGCTCACTTTCTCTCAGATCTGGGCTTCCAGCCCAGACTGGGCTACAGTTTCTTATACATCTACAGCATTTTACTGGGGCAAGAGAGAAGAGAAAGGTCCCCATTCCTCAATCCCACTCTGACCTCAAGAATTTGTTCTTACCTGGCACTATCCATGGCATATCTCAGAAGGCTTATAAATAGGCAGTCTTAACAGTCCTCCAGGATGCAAAGAGGAATTAATTTGCAAGAGAAACAAGAGAAAATCAGATCTATTTTGCTCTCCCTTTAGTTGTACTGAAAGCTGGAGAGAGAACTAGGAAGAGAGCCCAGATTTCCAAGAGCACATACCTCTGCCAGGCTTAGCAGACTGAACACATCCTTGGTCCCTCATCACTTGTGTTGAGGGGCTGCATCACCCTACCCTTGGATTCCTGCATGCTGACAGGCTGGCTATATGCTTAGGACTGGGCCTGACTTCAGAAAGAGGATTCAGAGAACAACAGATTTTTATATACCAAGTGGGCTATAATGTGCATGAGACAAAAAGGATGGGAGAGAGACAAAAAGCTCCAGCCTTATCTATGTCACAAGGATACGTTTTTGGCCAGCCTAGTTTAGCAACAGCTTCTCTTACAGTGCTTTTATTTATCTGAGCTCCTCCCTAATTTCCCTTTTGTAAGCCGCATAGGAGCAATATCAATCCCAGTCATTAGCCTGACTAAAGAAATTGGATTTTCTTCTTGTCTATCCATACAAGCTCATCAGATGCAATAATTCCCATCTTCGCCCTCATAATTACTGCATTTATAATCCAGCCTTTCTTAAGGAGGCAAGGGCACATTTTGTATTTCCATTGTGAAGGTCCAAGCAAAGCAATATCACACCTACAGCTAGAAAGGAAACAACCTATGAGATGGTGGCACACTCAACCTTTGCATGCACAGCCAATCAACTGTATCCTGGCCTGGCTTGCTTAATAGATACTCCAAACCTACCAGAAGGAAACCTTTGGCCTCAGGGGAGATCTCTGAACACAACACCACAGCAAAAGACACAGCCTCAGCAGCTGATCTGTGAACATTTCCACAGTGTCTGGACACAGCCTTATGCAGTCATCATTTTATGGCATTATGTTTAGCTTATGGACAACTCTGTCAAGAGTTACTTCCCCCAGCATGGGCCATACTTCAAGGCAAAAATTTGGGAGGGAACAAACTACTGTCTGACTCCCAACATTTAAAAAGGTGTAATTGCCTTTCAGCCTATGGAAACTATCTGGCCTTTCAGAGGAGCTTGCGCTGCTCACTGCCCTAATTCTCATCTGTTGCATCAGTCATGCAAAGAAACTTAATGACACAGAGATGCATCTCAAGCAAACCTCAAAGATAAAACACACTCCCAGAGGGGAGGAAGAGCTGGGAAGCAGAGCCCATTCATCCTAGCTGCTTCCTGCATCCCTGCATCTTGTCTATAGGCCCTGGTGAGCTTGGGCATAGCATTTCAAATTGTACAGCGCTGAGTCGAGTTTATAGCTCTGGTTCCCAGGGGTGCTAGCAGACACCAAACAACAACAAATAATGGATAGACCACTTTCATCAGTTATTCTAGAGGAGCACATCCTGCTTGTATCCCCTGACTGTGACCCTCTGGCACTAAAACTGTAAAAGACCGTTAAGTGAGAACAAAAGCAGAAGTACTTCACGTGATGATCGAAAGCAGAGACTGAGCATAGTATTCCCCTCCCTTCCTGCACACCACACTCCTGTTTGTGAACTTCTTTCTTCCATTTCCCTCACCAAATCATCCCTTCTGATCAGGAAATTAAGCACTGCATGCCCCGACCGATCAGAAACACATTTTCAGCTTTCACTCAGGCTCAGAACAAAGTCCAGGGAAATGTGAAAGGAAAAGGAGAAGTCTAGCAGGGTTAGAATAGGGCCTGCAGTTAGGATTTAGAATTTGGTCTGGTTACTGCCATGTAACTCCTTACTGCAAAAAGGAACTTCGGCCACACACATCCCCGGAGCTCCCCGTGGGCAGTGGTACAGGTTGCCTGTATGCACACCATGCAACAGTGCAGTTTTGCCTACTTCAAGTTTCATTCTCAAGGAATGAAGTATTTGCTAAGAAAGCACAGGAAGAAAATGCCTAATCTTTCTGTATTTCAGTTTCCTGTTAGCATGATGGGAACACTCCCCTGACTGGCCAATAGAGCGACACACCAAGTATTTGCAGTGCCTTTTGTTCACAAGATGCCAATGGAAAGGGGGAATTTTTCTCCAGTTAAGGTGCAAGCAGATAGCAACAACCACCCAGATTCATGTGTAAATGATTCAGTAGGGCCCAAAGCTACACAAAATGCCCATTGCTTCCTCTTCTTATTGAGTTCTCTGCAGGTAGGCCAGGAATATGCTTAGAAATCTGACCCTACACCAGCAAAAAGCTCTGTGCACGTTTGCTAGCTCCTCTTGAGATTCTTGGGCATCAACGGTCCTTTTCCATCAGATATGGTCCTGTGCAAGAGTTCCTTATACGAACTGTGCCCGAATCTGACTTCTGTTGTAAAGCCTCACCTCCCTCGGTCCCACTCCTCACGTGCGGGGGCTCCCCAGTCCAACTCCTCATCTTTCCATCGTCCATCCTTCTTCTCACTCTGTTAAGCCGGCCCATCTCCCTCCCACACAACGCGCACACGAAGGCCATTTACTTTCCAGCACGGCCCCTCGTGAGGAGGGCGATTCGTCAGAGCCCGGCACCGTGATCGGACACAGCTTCTCGGGACCCGCCAAGAGGACCGCTCCGAGCCGCAGGGCCGGGCCAGCGCCGCCGCTCTCGCATTTCGCCTCTTCGCGCCCCTAAGGCCGGCACCCCCGCGGCCCCTCACCTTGGGCAGATCTGCGGCGCCGCGGATGCGCTCCGCCACCCGCTCCCCGTCGGGGTGGATCCTGGCCACATGCCGCCACATCCGCTCCCAGGTGGGCTCGTCCACCGGCAGCCCGCCGCGGTTGACGAAGAACGGCACGCCGCCGTCGCGCAGGTCCTCCTCCTCCTCCTCCTCCTTCTCCTCTTCCCGCGCCGCCGCCGCCGCTTCGCCGGACGCGGGGACCCTGGCGGCGGCCGCGGCCCCACCGCCTCCCGGCAGCGGCATCGCCGCCGCCCGCGCTCAGCGCCTGCCGCCCCTCGCCGGGCCGCCGGGAGCCGCGTTCCGCATGGCCCGGGCGGGAGAGCGGGGCGTCACCTCCCGCAGCGCAGCCTCGCCGCCCGGAGGATCAGAACAGGGGGCCGCGGGGGGAAAGAACAGGGGGAGAGAGAACCCGGCAGGGCGGCGCCGGACGCCTCCCGCCCGCTCGCATCAGGCCGGGGAGGCGCCGGCGGCCCGACGGCCCGCGGCAGAGAAGGGGGGGCGCGGAGCGGGGCGGGCCCGCTGCCGGGGCGCCCCCGCCGCGCCGCCTCCCGAGCGCTCCGCGAGGCGGGCGGAGACGGCCGCCTCCCGGCCGCTGCCGCATGCGGGTAACAAAGCCGCCGCGACGGGCTGGGCTGGGCCGAGCCCGGCCCCGCTCCGCCCAGCTCCGCCCCGGGCCCGGCGTCTGAAGCCGGCGCGGGGGTCGCGGGGATCTCGCGGCCCACCGGAGCGACGGGGCTAGCGTGGACGCCGTCCGCCGCAGCGGTCGGCGCGCGGCGGGCGTGTCGCTACTGTCCGCGAGCGATAAGGGCCCAGGCGGCTGCGGCCGGCGATAAGCGGCGGTGCGACGGAGGGAGCGGGCGGGAGCCCCGGGGGCGGGGCGAGAAAGGGGGCGTGGTCGGGAAAGAGGGCGGGGTATGATAAAAGGGGCGGGGCCGTATGAAAGGGGCGGGGCGCGGCCGTTTAACGGTCGTTGCTCCAGGTGCCCTCTGAGGTGCGGAGCGTTTGTGGGGCTGTGCAGGATGCGGCCAGCAGGACGGAGCCGGCAGGTAGAAAGCACGGGGTGCTGAGGGTGATGGGTCTGTTCTGTTTGCGCCCAGGGTTGAATGTCGCGCTGTGGAGATGAGGGAACTGCGCTTTCTGTAATACTTAAACACTTTCATCAGTGAGTAGGGAATTTTTTTTCTTGAATGCGGATCTTGAGCAGTGCTGACTGATCCCTTCAGTAAGGTTTGTAGTGTTACGGTTGTCTTTGCCTCTTACCTGTGTGCAAGTGAAGAAGATTCCTTACATCAAGAAGGGTGGCCAAGTCTTAGCAGGAGTTACTGCACAGCCCCTGACTAGATGCCTTTTATCCAAACAGGTCATACCTGCTGTGTCCATTCCTCAGCCCTTGCTCCTCTCCTGGCACGGGCCCAGAAATGGGTCACATGCCGGGCTGTATGTTGGGGTGACAGGTGTGCTGCCGGTAACAGTGCTGGGAAAGCATAGTGCAAAGCTTTTAAATGGAGCTGCTTTGCTTCCCCTGACTGATGCTTGAGCACAGCTCTCCATGGAAGCAGGGGTTTTGGTTTTGAACTTCATCAGTAGTTGGTGCTTAGCAATGTATGGTGCTTTCTGTGCTCCTGCTTTTCCCTCTGTCAGAAATATGTGCTAATAAGTCTGATCTGCAGCCAGAGGTTTAAAAAAAAAAAAAATCAGCATCTGTGACACTTCAAGAATTGTTCTTTCCTGCGTGGCAGTAGAAGTGCAACACAATCCTTGTGTCCTTAACGGCTTGAAATGTATCTTTAATTGGAGGAATAGTTGCAAATAATTATCAGCAGGCTTTAAAACAAGTTTTGTTGGAGGATTGTTTGCTGTTCTGCAGTATTTAATAAACAGTGTTTATTTTCTCTGGTTGTCATGTAAGTAATGTTGCAGCAACAGGTCAGTATTTTGAAGGTAGAATTGGTGCTACACTTTGTTTAGTTGGGAAAATCAGAGCCCAGCTGTGCAGAATGAACTGGTCTGTGCCAGGTGGGTATGAGTGAGGTGATAGAAAGGGCAGAGAAATGGCTGCCACGTGTTGGCAGCTAGTATCATCTTGTCTATGGATACTGTTACTTGTGATATGGGCTGTGTAATGGGTGTTTCTCCTTTCTGGGAGCAGATTACTGTAGCTATGACAATGTGGGACCAGAACACTCAACTTTATTTTATTTTTTTAATAATGGTAATAGAAAGCTTTGTTTTACTTGTTTTCTGTAGAGGATGAGTGCAGGTGCTTTCTGTGAATCACACTTGAGAACAGTTTGGAAGGGTCAAGCTTAGTTATAGCAGGGAGCTTAACACTTGTTCATAGTGAAGGGACAAATAGCACTAATAGAGAAAGGACTAAAGTCAAGCCAAAACTTCTCCGAATAAATTCACTCAGAATATACAAAATACTGGATGCAAGTAGTGTAGAGAGCAGTTTAAAGAAATTCTTGCCTCCCTCTGGGTGAAGTGGGAGTTCCACCTGTTGCAGGAGATCCAAAACTTGTTTCTAAAAATGGTAGTGAGGCCATTGAGAGACCATGAACAGGCTTGAGCTGTGGGCCCAGGTGAACCTCATGAGGATCAATAAATTGAAGTGCAAAGTCTTGCACCTGTGTTGTGGCAACTCCCACTATCAGTACAAGCTGGGGGATGTAAGAATGGAGCACAGCCCTGCTGAGAAGGACTTGGGACTACTGGTGGATGGGAAGCTGGACATGAGCCAGCAGTGTGCCCTTGCAGCTCGGAGGGCCAACTGTATCCTGGGCTGCATTAAAAGAAGTGCAGGGTGAGGGAGGTAATCCTGCCCCTCTGCACTATGTTGTTGAGACCTCATCTGAGTAACACGTCTATATGTGGAGTCCTCAGTAAAGGAGAAGCATGGACCTGTTGGAGTGTGTCCAGAAGAGGGCCACAAAAATGATCCAAAGGATGGAATGCCTCTCCTGTGAGGACAGGCTGACAGCTGGGGCTGTTCAACTTGGGGAAGAGAAGGATCTGGTGAGGCCTGAGAGTGGCCCGTCAGTATCTAAAGGTGTGCTATAAGGAGTAAGGGGACAAACTTTTGAGCAGGGTCTGCTGTGATAGAAGGGGAAATGGTTTCAAACTAGATCAGGAGGTTTATGTTGGATATAAGGAAGAAAATTTTTACAATAAGGGTAGTGAAGCCACAGAACAGGTTGCTCAGAGATGTGGTGGATGCCTCATCCCAGGGCTGTCAGGCTGGACCAGGCTCTGAGCAACCTGATTGAGCTGTAGGTGTTCCTGTTCACTGCAGGGACTTAGGCTACATGGCCTTTAAAGGTCTGTTCTGTCTTAAATAATTCTGTGATATAACACTGTGTCACTCAGAGCATGGACTCTGCTGCTTGGTTCCTTTTTTGTATCTGTTTTGTTCCCTTTTCTGTATGTCTGGAAGACTCCAGAGACAGTGACTTCAGACTGTTATGACAAACCAGCATCTTAATTTATTTCCCCAGGCTGATTTAGCTCCAAAGTTATCAATGACCATTCAATTTCTTGCAGCATTTTTCACATATTTATTCTGTATGCGTTCGGATTGCTTATTTCAAAGGCACTTATGGGTTGTCTGAACTAATTTTCAGGACTTGGCTATTGCTTTCCACTTGTTGGAGTCACTTCAGGCTTCCAAATGGCACCTGGGAGCCTGCAGTATAGTTATGATGTGTGTTCCTATATACCACAGGTTTCCTTGCACCTGTAGATACTCCTGCAGATTCACATTTTCTTCCAGGCTTTACTCTCCTGGTGTTAGCTGTGAGAGGAAGTGAGGAGTGGGGGACTGGCTGTGAGCTTTGCTGATGGCCTTGGCCCAGTGGTGTCTGGGTTCGTCTGCAGGGTGAAGTGGGAAGATGTCACATGGAGTCTGGGGTGGCCTCGGCCTGCTGCACTGGAGCAGTGCGCTCAGCAGAGGGATGGGAAGAAAACCTGCTTAGCTTTTTAGCTGTAGATTTTTTTATGTGAAACAGTATGTATGGTATTAATTTGGACTCATTGTACTTATGTTGTATGAACGTATTTCCCGTAAGATCAGTGAAAGACTGGAGAAAAAATAGCCTCAGCAAAATATGGCGTCTGTGTCATTGCAAGGTTTGAAGCATTGTTTGTTGGATTTCAGTCAGAAGTAATATAGTTAGAGCTGATCTTGCACTGGGGAGGAGGACTTATGGCCTGTTAAAATCCCTTCATGACCCTTTCTTCAGTGACTGAAAATCAGTGGCCTAATGTATTCTCTGCTGAAGGCGGGAACAGTTCTTGCTGATTTGAAGGGCTCTCTTGATGGCTAGTAGTAAGCTAAGCTCTCTTCTATGAATGAGCCTTACTTGAACAAATAGCCTCTTAGGTTCCATCTACAGCACTTACGTGAGAGAAATGTCAGTGGGACATCAGAGCAGAGTGGCTTAATTTAAGGTGTTGGGTTTTATTTGTAATACGTTTTTGTGCATTATATGAATGAGCTTTTTTTTTAAGCATTTGATTTGTTTTCTTTAGCTACTTTCAGAAAAAGATGGAGACTTAAATCATGTTTTAAGCTGTGTTTTTTGTTCTAGAGTGTTTTCTTTATCTGCTTCTAGTTTCTCCAGCTCACAACTGTACTGTTTTTAGCATGATCGTACAAATGTCTTTGTCTATTGCAATGAAATTGTCTGCTGTACGGAAGACCCTTAGAAGCATACTGCCAAGCAGTATGACAGTGACGCAGTAGATCTTTGCCCAGAGCAGAAATTCCACCTTTGCCCTTAATTCTTCTCTTTCCAGAGGTCTGATCAGGAGTATCTCTAAAGATGACAGCAAAGCTGCTACTATTTGTCTGTGAAGTTGAAATAACTTTTAGTCTGGGCAATTGTTGTAACAGAGCCATGACAGACCTACTTTGTGGGCAGTTAAGAATGACTGAATCGGTGGCTGTCCCAGTGACTCCACATACTGTCCTGTTCAGGTGCAGTCCTACTGGCTGCTTTCTCCATGTAGATCAGATCTAAGAGAAGGGAGTTTTGGACCCAATCAACTATTCAAATATCTGCAAATATTTGTGAAAAACTTGTGCATTAATCTTCCCTTATCATTGGCCTGTTAAGTTATCTCGCAACTGACTGACCTTGCTGTTTCACATAACCAGCATGTTGTCACATGGCATTTCCCATCCTGTCTGTCACACCGTGAATACATCAGCCATGTATGATCCTGCTCTGGGATTCAAGAAGGCAGGAAGGTTAAAACTCACTGGAATGAGGCAAGGATTGTACAAGATAATGTTAACTTGACAACTTGTTTCATTTGGAGTTTCTCTTTTGTTCTTAATAATAACTTTGCTTGATGAGAGGGACTTAGGGCTTAGTTGTGACATTTCAGGGCTGGAACACAGAAGCGAACAGGCTATCATCTAACTTGCTTTGTGCCACCCCAGCTTAGAGGCAGGGCGTGAGACCAGAAGCTAGAGTTTTGAGTCGTGTGCAGGACTGATGTCTGAAGGTTAATTCATCCAGATGGGAAACAGGAAAAGCACCGCAATACTTGGGTGCTTAGTGAAAGAATGTTAAGAGTTAAGTTCTTAAGTTCAACTATTTCCATCAGAGAAAGACCATAGATTGAAATGGTTTGGCATCAAATTTCAGTGAAAGGAACTTGAATTTGGAAAACTAACTGGTTTAAAGTATTTTACTTAGCTGGGAAGGGGAAGAGTGTTGTTCTCTGAGTCATAGAATGAGTCCTAGAATAGCTTGAGTTGGAAGAGAGCCCAAGGATCATTGAGTTCTGACCCCCTGCCACAGACAGGGCCACCAACCTCCAGATCTGGTACTACAGCAGGCTGCCTGGTGCCCCATCCAACCTGGTATTGAATGCCTCCAGGGACAGAGCATCCGCAGCCTCTCTGGGCAGCCTGTGTCAGCACCTCACCACTCTCTCTGTAAAGAACTTACCCCTATATCCAATCTAAACCTTCCCTCTTTGAGCTTAAAGCCATTTCCATTTGTCTTATCACTGTCTATGCTTGTTGATTCCTTTCCTG